AAAAAAAAAAAAAAAAAAAAAAAAAAAAAAAAAAAAAAAACACAGAACATCATCTTGATAAAACATAAAATGTTTTTGTTTCACAGGCCTAGTACATAAAGGGCCAGGAGAACACTTAACCAGTGTCTAGTAAGAACAGATCAACACGTTGTTAAAACTTTGCAAGTTTAATTGAGAAGACCAAATTATAGTTTGTATTAGTTTAGTTTTAATATTAAGAATCATTTTAGATAGGAGGATCCAAGATGGCCGAGTAGGAGCAGCTCTGGATTGCAGATCCCAGCGAAAGTGCAGAGGGTAAGTGGATGCCGCATTTCAAGATGGATTTTTATTGCCCACAGACCAGGAGACTCCTGGGCAGGAGCACCACGGGTCTCCAGCACAGCTGTTTCCACCAGTGCGTGGGTCTCCACATAAAAATCTCACACAGGTCCAAGAGCCATTTCAGCTGGTGACTGAAGTGCCTGGGAGACAGAGTCACCCATGCAACTGATAAAAAGGGGACTGAAATAGTGAGCCAGGCCAGGAGATTCCTGGGTGAAAAAGCACAAAACCAGGGCAGCAGATCTCCACACAAAATCTCACATAAATCTGGGCACCTTTTCAACAGGTGACTGGAATGTCTGGGAGACAGAGTCACCCATTCAACTGATAAAAAGGGGACCAAAACAGGGAGCCAGGCCAGGAGATTCCAAGGCAGAAAAGTGCCACCAGTGCAGCTGTTTCAGCCAGTGCAGTGGGTCTTGCACAAAATCTCACACAACTCTGGGCACCTTTTCAACTGGTGGCTGGAATACCTAGGAGACACAGTCACCCATTCAACTAAAAATAAGAGGACTTAAACAGGGAATCAGGCCAGGAGATTCCTGGTCATAAAAGCATCACAAGCCCCCAGCAAGGCTGTTTCATCCAGAGGGTCTCTGCACAAAATCTCACACAAATCCAGTCACCTTTTCAATCGATTACTGGAACGGCTGGGAGACAGAGTTGCCAGCTCAACTGAAATAAAGGGGTCTCAGGCAGGGAGCAAGGTGATCAGGCATGCTGGTCCCACCACCACAAACACAAGAAATCTCAAACACTCTGGATTAAGAGTTTCACAGCAAGCACAGCTGAATCTGGGATGGTCCAGCTCTGTGTGGGATGGCGTTGATCATTACCAAGGCAGTCCATCACTACTGAGGTAGTCTGCCATTACTGAGGCAGTCCACCATTGCTGAGGCAGTCAGCCATTACAAAGAAAGTCTGCCATTACGAAGGTCGGCAACCATTGCCAAGGCAGTTCTAACTATACCTTTATAAACAGGACTGCAGGGAAGTTCACATGGCAGCTGGGTGGAGCCCAGCAGCTCAGCAACACCTCTGCTGGCAGACTGTGATTAGTCTGCTTCCTTGCTGGGCAGGACATCCCTGAAAAAAGGCAAAAGCATAACAGAAACCTATAAATAAAGCCTACCTTCCTGAGACAGAGTACCTGGGGCGGGGGGGAGGCTGTTATGAGTTTTGCTGCAGCAGACATAAAAGTACACGCCCAGCAGCTCTGAATGAACAAAGGAGCTCACAGCTCAGCACTTGAGCTCCTATAAAGGACAGACTGTCTCCTCAAGCAGCTACCCAACCCCCATATATCCAAAGAGTCACCTCCTAAAGCAGAGCTAGACTGACATCTGGCAGGTATCCTTCTAGGACAAAGATAGCAGACGAAGAAACTGGCAGCAACCTTTACTGTTCCACAGCCACTGCAGGTGAGCCCAAGGCAAGCAGGGTCTGGAGTGGAACTCCAATAGTCCTACAGCTGAGGGACCTTACTGTTAGAAGGAAAACTAAGAAACAGAAAGAAATAACTTCATCATCAACAAACTGGATGTCCACTCAGAGACCCATCTGAAAGTCACCAACTACAAAGACCACAGGTAAATAAATCCAGAAAGATGGGAAGAAACCAGCTCAAAAAGGATGAAAATACCCAAAACCAGAAAGACATTTCTCCAAAAGATCACAACTCCTCACCAGCAAGGGGACAGCGCTGGATAGAGAATGAGTCGGATGAATTGACAGGAACACTTCAGAAGGTGGGTAATAACAAACTTCTCTGAGCTAAAAGAACATGTTCTAATCCAATGCAAAGAAACTAAGAACCTTGAAAAAAGGTTTGATGAAATACTAACAAGAATAAACAACTTAGAGAGGAACATAAATGAATTGACGGAGCTGAAAAACACGACACGAGAACTTCACGAAGTGTACACAAGTTTCAATAGCCAAATTGACCAAGCAGAAGAAAGGATATCAGAGGTCGAAGATCAACTCAATGAAATAAAACAAGAAGGCAATATTAGAGAAAAAAGAATAAAAAGAAATGAACAGAGCCTTCAAGAAATATCGGATGTAAAAGACCTAATTATGTAAAAGACCTAATCTACATTTGATAGGTGTACCTGAATGTGACGGAGACAATGAATCCAAACTGGAAAACTCTCATCAGGATAATATCCAGGAAACCTTCCCTAATCTAGCAAGGCAGGCCAATATTCAAGTCCAGGAAATATAGAGAACACCGCAAAGATATTCCTCAAGAAAAGCAACCCCAAGGCATATAATCGTCAGATTCACCAGGGTTGAAACGAAGGAAAAATGCTAAGGGCAGCCAGAAAGAAAGGTGAGGTTACACACAAAGGGAAGCCCATCAGACTCACAGCAGATCTCTCAGCAGAAACTCTACAAGCCAGAAGAGAGTGTGGGCCAATATTCAACATCCTTAAAGAAAAGAACTTTCAACCTAGGATTTCATATCCAGCCAAACTAAGGTTTGTAAGGGAAAGAGAAATAAAATCCTTTACGAACAAGCAATTACTCAGAGATTTCATCATGACCAGGCCTGATTTACAAGAGCTCCTGAAAGAAGCATGAAACACAGAAAGGAAAAACCAGTACCAGCCATACAATA